CCTGGCCCCCGCCGCCCCCACCAGCCAGCCCGTCTCACCCCAGATCCAGCAGGTGCCGGTAAGCCCAGGGCCAGGGGAAGGGTGTCCCGGTGCCCCCCCCCGGCTTTCCCCAGCCCTCTGACACCCCCCTCCCTGCCCTCCAGGTCCTGCTGCAGCCCCATTTCATCAAGGCTGACTCCCTGCTGCTGACGGCTGTCAAGACGGATGCTGGCAGTGCCAAGACCTCCAGCATCGCCTCCCTGGCCACCAGCGCCAGTGGCTCTGCCACCCCGCTGCAGGTGCCGGTAGGTCCCACCACCGGGGAGCTCCGGGGTGGGGGGATGCTCGGGGACCCCCACTGACACCATCCCACGTCCCTGCAGGCTCTGGTGAGCGGAGGGACCATCCTGGCCACGGTGCCACTGGTGGTGGATGCCGAGAAGCTGCCCATCAACCGGCTGGCACCCAGCGGGAAGCCGGCGCTGGTGCAGAACAGGGGGGAGAAGCGCACGGCGCACAACGCCATCGAGAAACGCTACCGCTCCTCCATCAACGACAAGATCGTGGAGCTCAAGGACCTGGTGGTGGGCACCGAGGCCAAGGTGGGAGCCTGGGGGCGGTGGGGATGGGGTGGGCAAGGAGGGGGCTTCACCTGGCATTTGGTCTGAGCCGTCCCTGCCCACCGGCAGCTCAACAAGTCGGCGATCCTGAGGAAGGCCATCGAGTACATCCGCTTCCTGCAGCAGAGCAACCAGAAGCTGAAGCAGGAGAACCTCACCCTGAAGATGGCCATGCAGAAGAACCGTGAGTGGAAGGGCAGGTCTCAAGGGGGGGGCTCAGCCCCGGGGCTGCCGTACCCCCTCAGCATCCCTCAGCCTGCTTTTCTCCCCACAGAGTCCCTGAAGGACCTGGTGGCCTCCTGCAGCGGGGGGGCCAAGACGGAGGCCCCCATGGAGGTGGTGAAGGCGGAGGTGATGGAGATGCTGACGCCGCCGCCCTCGGATGTGGGCTCACCATCCCACAGCAGCCCGCTCTCGCTCAGCGGGGGCAGCAGCAACAGCAGCAGCGACTCGGAGCCCGACAGCCCCCTCTGCGACCACGGCAAGGTGTGGGGGGGCTTTGGGGAGGATCCCCCCCGACCCTGAATGGGGCAAGGATCTGCTACATCATTATAGGGGTGCCAAGAGCAAAGTGCGCCAGATGCTGGCACGGGGATAGGAGCCAGGAGCCCCGATCTTGCTCTCTGAGGCTGCTCCTCACCCATTTTGGGGCTGGAGAGAGGGGTGCGGGGGCACGTTCTGGGGTGCAGTGGGCTGCTGCGCCCATGCCCCATGCTCTGCACCCCAAAATGTGCTCTGTGCCTCATGCCTGTACCCTGCACTCCATGCCTGTGCTCTGTTTCCCATACCTGTGTCTCATCATGCCCCATCACCCTGCCCCATGCCTTATATCCCCTGCCCTATATCCCATGCCTGTGCCCCATCACCGTGCCCCATGCCCTGTCCTGGGCCTCACAGCAGCTCTGCCCATGCAGGTGAAGCAGGAGCACCCCCCGCCCTCGCCCAGCAGTCAGGGCATGTTGGACCGCTCCCGCATGGCCCTCTGCGCCTTTGTCTTCCTCTGCCTCTCCTTCAACCCCCTGGCCTCCCTCCTGCGGGGCTCCGGTGCCCCGGCCCCTGTGGGGAGCCCAGGCACCGCTGGTCCCCACAGGAGCATCATGGCGGAGTCTGGCACTGTGGGTAAGTTCTGGTATGGAGTTGGGGCTCTTGGGGTGGAGGATGTCGGGATGGAGGCCGTCAGGGGGGTGGTTGTTGGGGTTGGGCACAGGGTGGAGGCCACTGGGATGGAGGCTGTTGGGATAGGTGTTGGGTGGAGGCTGTCAGGGTCATGGTTGTGGAGGTAGACACAGGGTGGAGGCCACTGGGGTGGAGGCTGTTAGGGCGGGCATGGGGTAAAGGCTATTGGGATGGAGACTGCTGGGGCAGGCATGGGAGAAAAGCCATTGGGATGGAGGCTGTCAGGGTGGACATGGGCTAGAGGCTGTTGAGGTGAAGACCATCAGGCTGCAGGGTGTTGGGGTGGGTCTGTGGTAGGGGCCATGTGGGTGGAGGCTCTTGGGGTGGAGCCCATCAGGGTGGGCATGGGGTGAAGGCTGCCGGGATGGGGGCTGTTGGAGGGGAAACCATCAGAGTGGTGGTGGTCATGACGGGCATGGGGTGAAGGCCGCCAGGAGGGGTGTCTTCGGTTGAGCCTGAGATCGGAGACAACTGGGGTGGAGGATGCTGGGGTGGACACAGGGCAGAGGCCCGTTGGGTGGAAGCTTTTGTGGTGGTCACCACCGGAGTGGAGGCTCTTGGTGAAGGTGAGGGGGTGAAGGCCACCAGGCTGGGACACCCTGGGGTGGGTGTGGGGGCAGAGGTGGTGCTGACCCCCCCCTCCTCCCCGTGCAGAGGAGCCGTGGGGGTGGTCTCAGTGGCTGTGGCCCACACTAGCCTTCTGGGCGCTGAACGTGGCGCTGGTGCTGGGGGCGGTGGTGCGGCTCTTCGTCTGCGGGGAGCCCGTCACCCGCCCCCACTCCGAGCCCTCCGTCCTCTTCTGGCGGCACCGGCGACAGGCTGACCTTGACCTTGACCGGGTAAGCCCCCTCCCCACCCTCACCCCATACCCCCCCATCACCACACCATGTGTGACATCACCTGTGCGCCACCCACCCTGGTCCCACCACCCGTGCTGACCCTTTTTCCCTTTTGGGGGGAACACGCAGGGGGACTTTGCCCAGGGTGCCCAGCACCTTCGGACGGCGCTGGGGGCACTGGGACGGCCGCTGCCCGCCTCCCACGGGGACCTGGCCTGCAGCCTGCTCTGGACCCTGCTGCGCCACCTCCTCCAGCGCCTCTGGGTGGGACGCTGGCTGGCCGCCCGTGCCGGGGGGCTACGTCCCGACCCCCCGCCGCCCGCCCACGTCCGCCAGAGCGCCCGCGACGCCGCCATGGCTTACCACCGCCTGCACCAGCTCCACCTGGCCGGTACGGCCCCGTCACGCCGTGGGGAGGGCTGGGGGATGGCATCCCTAATGCTTCTCCTCACTAAACCCCCCCCTCCATCCTTGTCCCCCCGCAGGGAAGCAGGCTGGGGGGCACCTCCTGGCCATCAACCTGGCGCTGAGTGCCGTCAACCTGGCCGAGTGCGCCGGCGACGCCGTCTCCGTGGCCGCCCTGGCTGAGATCTACGTGGCGGCGGCTCTACGGGTCAAGGCCAGCCTGCACCGCTGCTTCCACTTCTTGGCTGTAAGTGTGGGGCCACCCGCTTCCACCACGGGGCTTGGGGTGGGAGGTGGAGGAGTTGGCATAGAATCATTGTCTAGGTTGGAAGGGACCTTCAAGATCATCAAGTCCAACCATCAACGAAACACTAACAAAAAACATCACTAAACCATATCACTATGTCTGACAAAAAACATCACTAAACCATATCACTAAGTTCTATGTCTACCCATCCTTTAAATACCTCCAGGGATGACAATTCCACCACCTCCCTGGGCAGCCCCTTCCAATGCCTGATAACCCTTTCAGTGTAAACATTTTTCCTAATATCTCATCTAAACCTCCCCTGGTGCAATTTGAGGCTGTTCTCCTCTTGTCCTGCTGTCTGTTCCTTGGGAGAAGAGGCCGACTCCCACCTCTCTACAACCTCCTTTCAGATAGTTGTAGAGAGCGAGAATGTCTCCCCTCAGCCTCCTTTTCTCCAGGCTGAACAATCTCAGCTCCCTCAGCTGCTCCTCATAAAGACTCTTTGCCCTTCTCAGGAGTCACTTCACGATCTCAATGTCTTTCCTGTAGTGAGGGGCTCCAAACTGAACAGGGTACTCAAGGTGGGGCCTCACCAGTGCTGAGTACAGGGGGACAATCACTTCCCGAGTCCTGCTCACCTCTTGACACAGGCCAGGATGCTGTTGGCCACCTTGGTGACCTGGGCACACTGCTGGCTCACGTTCAGCTGGCAGTCAACTAGGACCCACAGGTCCTTTTCTGCCAGCCAGCTCTCCAGCCACTCTTCCCCAAGCCTGTAACGTTGAGTGGGGTGGCATGTGTCCCCCCTAGGACCTGGTCTTGGGTCCCCCTTCCCTGACCTCCTCTGCCACTCTTCCCCAAGCCTGTAACGTTGCATGGGGTGGGTGGCATGTGTCCCCTAGGACCCGGTCTTGGGTCCCCCTTCCCTGACCTCCTGCTCTCCCCGCAGCGCCCCTTCCTCTGCAGTGCCCGGCGGGTGGCCCTGTCCCACGGTGGGGCCGTGCCCCCCGCCATGCAGTGGCTCTGCCACCCCTTGGGCCACCGCTTCTTCGTGGATGGGGACTGGGCCGTCAAGGGGGTCCCGAGGGAGACCATCTACAGCTCCGCCGGCAACCCAGGTAACCCCCCTATGCCTGGCCCCCCCAGCCCATCCTTTCGGGGGGTGGGTGGGTGGGTGGGTGTCACCACCCCTCTTGTCACCATCTCACTGTCCCTCTGTGCCACAGTGGACCCGTTGGCACAGGTGACCCAGCTCTTCCGTGAGCACCTCCTGGAGAAGGCGCTGTGCTGCGTGGCCATGCCGGAGCCCAGCCGCCCCGCTGCCCAGGGAGAGGGGTAAGTGCTGGGGTGGGCACCCCACTCTCTCCAGCCGGCGTGGGGGGCCAGCCCCACTGATGGCCCCTCTCCCCGCAGGCGCTTTTCCAACGCTCTCGAGTACCTCCAGCTCCTCAATGGCTGCTCCGATGCCAGCGGCGTGCCCGGCCCCGCGCCCTCCATCAGCTCCGGCTTGGCAGCTGTCACAGGTGAGGCCGGTGTGTGTGTGTCCCCACCAGGGGACACTTTGTGTGTGGGGGCCACGGGGCCGGTGGACGCCCCGCTCCCGTGTCCCTCCCGCCCCGCAGGCACCGACCCCGTGTCCAAGTGGTGGGCGTCCATCATTGGCACAGTTATTCACTGGCTGCAGGGAGATGAGGAGGGGGCCGAGCGCCTCTACCCGCTGGTGGAGACCATGCCCCGGGCACTGCAGAGCTCTGAGTGAGTGCTGGGGACATCAGGGATGGGACACAGGGCAGGGGGGATGTGCCAGCTCATCATACACCTCCCCTCCTCCTTTGGGTTGGCACAGCCCTTGCAAACACACGCTGAGCACTGTGGTGTGGAAAGAGGGGGGCATGGCCGTGCCCAGAGAGGAGCCTGCAGTGACTGTGTGT